GTGGAGAAAGAGGAACATGCAGCAGGTGGCTGTGGGCTGGAATCAAGGCCATAGCAGGGACTCTCACCCTGGCACATGGACCACCACTCAGCCAGGTCAGCTATCAGGACACCCGATTCAGTTTTTACTGAATGGCAATGTAGTGTTTCGAAGCACGTGAACCCCACTGGTCCTTTTTTATACTATTTTAGGATTTAATGAATTCACATGCAGAAGCTGTGAAATCATTTAAGTCTGTGAGGGTTCAGTACTATATAGTACAGATACTATAGATGGAGAACGGGAGCAAGATCAGTGAAAACACTAGACATCAGCAAAAATAAGACTCTTAATGGCAAATTCTGGTATAGTTTACCCTTGTTGTATAACTGCATCGGGATTTACCTACAGTTGTGAACAAACGTTTACTGTCTGACGTTCATACTAACTCCCATAACTACATTTTCTATGATGGAATCATTGAAACACGTGGCTCTTTGTTACAGAAAAAAAAATTGCATTTTCGTTCTTTCATAAATTGATTATAGGTCCTCTGGAAATGTTACAAAATCTGTTGGGTCAAAAATATGCATAGAGCAATGCTAATATTTGGGTAAATGTCCCTTGGCCATTTTCACCTTAGGTGCTTTCGGTAGCTGTCTACATGCTTCTGATTGTGTCTTTAACCATTCCTCTTGTAAGAATTGGTACAGTTCAGCTACTCTTTTGGCTTTCAGACATGAACATGTTTAGGTCAGGACTTTGGGGAGGCTAAACCTTAATTCTAGGTTAATTTAGCAATTTCTTAGCCACTCTGAATATGTGTTTAGGGTCACTGTCTTGCTGGAACATCTCAAATGTGTGCAAGACCCAACCTTCTGGCTGATGATTTTAGACTTTCCTGCAGAATGTCCTACTTCATTATCCTATTTACTCAATGTAAAGCACCAGTTCTAATGACAGCAAAACAGCTGTAGAGCATAATACTACCACCACCATGTTTGACTGTATGTACGTTATTCTTGAGTTAAAGGCTTCACCATCTCTCCTGCAAATATATTTCTGGTTACTGTGGCCACATAGCTCAGTTTTTGTTTCAGAGAATTTCCCTCCAGAAGGCTTTTTCTGTACTCAGCAGCTTAAGGGGCCACCTCTGGACATGGGGGCTTCCTTCTTGCATGGCAGCCTCTCAGCCCATGGGGATGTAAAACACGCCTGGCTGTGTTCCAGCTGCTTTTATTTCATTGCAGAGCTGCTCTTTGATGATTCTTGGTTGACTCTTAACCTTTATGACCAGTTGTCTCTTAGCAGCAGATGATAGCTTATGTTTCCTTCTAGAAGGTGGCAGTGATACAGCTGTGCCATGCACTTTATACTTAGAAACAATTGTTCACACAGTTGATTTATGGATCTGTAGTTGCTTTGAAATGGAAATGTGGTCAACACAACTGTCTACATCACATAAACTGATTCAAGTCGCTGTATGTATATGTTTGACCCAGCAGATTTTGTCATATTTCCAGAAGGCCTATAATAAATCTATGAAAGAACCAAAATGCAGGATTTTTTTCTGACAAAAACTTTTGTGTTTCAGTGTTTCCATAATTGAAAATTAGGAGTTATTGGAGCCATTGGAAACTCAAGACTGCCATGATATGCATGGTATTTACAAGTGTATGTAAACTTTTGTTCACAACTCTACATCCTAGAATTACTCTTCAGCCCCTTTCAGACATCTGCTCATTTTCATAAATCCTACAGTGTCTAAACATCTGCTCTCATCTGATTGAGCACCCTCAGTGCTCTGCTGGAAAACTTGTAACAGCAGTTTCACAAGGTCGAGTGTAATAGTAGTCACTTGTATGCAAACCCTGACCTTTGATGTCCACTGTGCGTCTTCAAGTACAAGTACAATTGTTATTTTCCCAATACAGGGTACAACAAATAACATAAACTATAAACTATATACAGCCTCATTAACGTCAGGATTTATTCAATATTTTTGCCTTCAAGTTACATTTTGAGTTGTGCTGCTACCTAAAACCATTATCTACCACCAACAGTCAGACAATCTATCATCACCTCCACTGTCAAGTGACTTCATCCACTGTGTTGAGTCCTTTCTCAAATTTAGCTCCACCGTGTGATTTGGCTCTCAGCCAGTCCTCTGAATATAATTGGTAGCCTCTGTAATAAAATCAGTGGAGCTTTAAGATCCACTACGGATCATTTACAACGGACAAGGGCAAACAAAAATTAGAGGAGCACAGGTTTCTCTCTTCTCCTTTTTTTTTTTGGTTACGCATGCTGCAATCTCCCACACTCATTAATAATTAGAAAAGCTTTTACAAGTCATTGATTGATATTTATATAGTCTGTGTAATCTATAATATTGATTTATGTTGTGGTTTTGTTTGATTAAAATGTCTTTAAAGCTGGGGTAAGCTTTTGGAATTTTCCCATTACGCAGAGTATCTGTTCTCACATACTAAGCTCCTGAATATGTTTTTTTTTTATAGATCTTCTTAAGGTTTTAATGTTGTACTTTGACAGTAATATGAACCTCTGCACATCCACAGCAAGTCAACTGGAGCTTTCCCATGATGTGATGCAGCTACAGTCACAAACCGTGACTTTCCCAAGACAGAAGGACAGAAATATGTACACACACTTTACATGTGCGTGCGTGCGTGCGTGAGAACTTGACTTCACTAGTAACTCAAAGCAGAACTATCTGGTAATGACAGTATTGAGCATATATCTCATGTCCTCTGTGGATTCTGAACACAATGTAATCCATGAGAAAGCCAATTTTTGATAACTATAACCAGATAATCATAAATCAGACATAGCTTGCTTGGGTTTTTTTCAAAAGTTCTCTGATTACCACGAGATGATTAAGTGGCCTGAACGCTTTATTTGTATTTGACTGTGAGTTTTCATTTCAGCATTGAATCCTTACAGCAGGGACTTGGACTTAAATCTTTCAAGATAGTTACTGCCTTCTAATTAACCCTTCACAGATAAGTTATATCTTTAATTGGCGTACATTTCTTTTATTTGAAGTTGCCGCTTCGCTCTTATCCCTTAACTGGAAAGTAGCATCGTATGGAATGTGGTAGATCTTGAAATACTAAACAATACAACTGTAGTGGCTCTTCACTGGAACCACCATCAAGGAGTGGCAGAAGCACCTTCCTGAAACTTCATAAAAATAAATAACATTTTACAATTCTACTCGTTACTGAAGGTTGTTCTTGGAACTTTCTTTGTTCCTTTTCTATTCATGTAATCCAGCAAAGCAAGTTTTTTTTTTTTTTTTGAAGTGTTCAGATCCTTGAGCAGAAGTTGTGAAGACATGTTATGCATCCTAACCCCAAACCTTCCTGTGCAATGGAAGATTAATACAAAAGCTAAGGGATATATAATAAAGGCAAACTAATAAAGAGGTGGTCACTCACTCGTGGCCACTTTTGTTGGTGGTGATTAACAACATAACGCTTCATTTTCCCTGAAACAAATCACTTTAACAAACCAGGCAGAGCAATAATACAGCATGATCGTTATATATTACTGTTTGTTATTATCGGAAATATTATAACTTATATATTGACCTTGCAAATTGGAATAGCATCCAAAAAAAATCTATATTCTGAAGCTCTGACCCCAGCAGGCCATTCTGTTACATTTTTGTTGGCTGTGGTTTTGCTGCAAAACATCAGGCTATGATCATAAATGTAAACCTGCAACACAACTTAGCATTTGACTGATAGAATAATGATAAAAAAAAATTGTCTGAATGGCTTTAGGGACCAACTAACTGGGGGGAGAAAAAACTCATTCATATTGGCTCCTACCAGTGTGCATGGCCCAACTCCTGAAGAGCGTAGCATCTCTGTCAATGCTCCAGCCATGACGAGCAGCGTGCTTCCAGGGGATTTGGAAGATTCGCGCTGACTGTGGAATTAAATGAAACGTTATTATTATCTCACGATTCAGGCTTTATTCCCTGCATGAAGTGATATCACCTACAAGAAACTACTTAAGATGCATGTGGTGATGAGAGTAAGATGGAGGGTTCTACCTGGTCCAGCCAGCTGACTCCCGGATACCTCCCAGACTGAATCTGCTCCTCCAGCCACGGCCTCAGCCTCAGCCGCCCCAGTTGTTGCATGCTGCAGTCTGAGCTTCAAGTGTGCAGGAAGGTTGGTCAGTACAGAAGAGCCACCAGCAATAACAGAAAATTTCTAAGGAGCGCAGATTAAATCAAAGGTTACTCCGGGACATCCTACCTCCTCACCGGCATTCTTCCAATCAAAGGCCTCACAGCAAATACAGTCTCTCCCCACCTCCAAAACCTTCCTTAAGTGGCTCCTCCAGTTACAGGAAATACTCTACATGGGCCTCTGCACATTATTCTCTTCTTGACTGAGGATGAGATGGAGCATGATGGATTTCTGATGTTTTTCCACGGACTGGGTATGGGCGAAAATTTTGGAATCATCACTGTTTGCACATGTATTTTAGCAAAGCATGCGTCACCTGCTGCGGGAGAGTCACTGCCAAAACGTTTGGTTTTACATAAAGTCGGGATGGCAGCAGTGAGACTGTGTGTTCAGAGGGACAGTTAATACAGTACGTGACACACGAGGCTGCTTTACATGTTGCAACAGAGCCGTGAGTTTTTAAGTTACATGTAAAAAAAAAAAAAGAAGAAGTTGAACTCTGCCAGAATTTTCCATTCAAACATGGAAAAAAAAACGACACACAGCAACATTTTCTGAGCTGTTTAATACAAACTCACACAGGAAGACCATTTACATCATGTGTTATATATTTCAGTATAGTATTTGTATATAACTAACCTTTTATGTCTGCTGTCTTTAGTTTAGTGGCAAAGAAGCAATGTTCTGTATTAATTCCATGTAAACACTATGCATACAATACATAGCAATCTGAATGGCAGTATATTTATATCTACTTTATTAAACTGTATAGCATTACAATACATTCGTACAGTATGTAATTGTTAGATTCAACAGAAAATACACAGAATCAGAACATTTGAACACATTTGAAATGAAAAATTCAGCATTAAAAACTCTCTTGGACACAAACACAACTCAGAGTAATCCAGCTTAAGTACAACTTTTATTTGAACTATTTCTTACAAAGGAAATGTATCTAAATAGAAACATCTGCGTCACTTATCCACAGAAGGCCATCCCGTCTATTTGTTTTCCGAGTGTGTCATGCTGGATGAGGGTGACGTGTTTCTGTGGAAATGGCTCAGAGGTTCCAGAGAATAGTAATGAGGAAGTAGTTTCACAAGCCTGAACAGCAGCAGCTCGGCATGACAGCAGATTGTTGTAGTTTGTTTTAGTCGCAGAACTCAGTCAGCTTCAACATGATTTCTCCTTAAAGGGTTATGACTAGATTAGCTAAACACGTTTTTTCTTGTAATGGTTTGTCGGGTCAAATCAAGCTCAGAGAGCTGTAACGCTGGGTTTCACTACAAACAATTAGTTTTTTAAGCATGGTTTAACTTGAAATTATGTTGCACCAAACTTAAAGTTAAGAAAGATTAGATTTAAGCCTGTCTTTAAACTTGGTTTACTTTTAAGTCTAAACCCAGATTCCATTTAATTATGTTGCACTAAAACCTTAAACTCCAGACTTAGGTCCAAAGTTATACTTGAGGTGGTGTCACTTTTAAAACGGCTGCCTTGTTGAAATGGATTGTTAAAGGGTAGAATAAACCCAGTTGAGTTTTGCGATAGCACTGAATAATAAGGAAACTGTTTAGGAAGACTGGACCAGTGAACCACAGTGTGCTGACTTGCAAGGGCATGTTGGAAAAACTAGTAAATCCAGATTTTTCCACAAGGGGCTGTAGATGGTCCTCTCTAGGCTTTAACACTGACAAGCTTTTATATATGCTTGATGTTTATACATTTAAGAAAGAGTTCATCCTGTAGGATTCTTGCATTTTCCATTTACTATGTAGACATAAATTAGAAAAGTGAATGAATTTTGTTGAATAATACATGTAGGACTTAAAGCAGCAAAACACATGCATTGTACACATTCACAAAGTATTCACAGATGAAATGTTCTTAAGGTGCAAAGCTGAGCTATTTCTAAAAAAAAAAATAAAATACACATTCATTTAAAAAAAAATAAATTCTACAACAGCGAATGATAAAGTCAACTCAAGGTCAAATATTACATAAATTATACATTTGTATGGAAAACACCATCTGCTGTTAAGATCGTGTGAAACAGTCAATACATCATGAACAGCTACAAATTGGTCCTTAACCCTTTATTGGGCAAAGAACCATGTATGGTAACTTTTGGAGGCTTTGAAATGGCAGTGGGCAGAATCACGTGACTTTATCCAGCCAATCAACGACGGTCAGTCTATATGACAACACAGTCACTGTGGCCTCTGACCAATCACGAGTGAGCCAGAGTGATGATTTGACACAAGTGTCATAAGTTCCACAAGTCTTTCAATAATTTTTCCGCATATTATTTGGAATTCTTTTTTACCCCAGGTGGGCCAGGAATCGTATATGGCAACTGCTTAGACTTTGAGTTGCAGCCTACAGCTGAAGCTTTCAAGTCAAAAACAAGAAAAAATGTCCTCCCATATCCACCGATATCCACTCCAGTGTTGTAACTTTCACTGTCCAAGTATTTTTTGAATAATTTTATATATATATATATAATTAATAATTGAATTTCCCTTCTGGGATTAAGTATTTTTTCATTTCATTTTTTCATTTCATTTCAGTGAGTGTCCGATAAAGGGTTAAGGTCAGACTGTTTTGTTGCTGTTCGAGTACAAACTGTGAAACCCAAGTCAAGACCACCAAACTACACGCTCTGATAGCCGCTCTCTGTGATTATGGGCACACACTGGGGGAAAAAAGGCATTTGGAGCTCAGAGAGACGTTGGCCACACTGGGCATTGTTAGTGAAACCTGGTACAACGGCGCTTGAGAAGCTTTGCGGGACGCTGGTGGATGACTCCTCCTGATCAGCTCTTCTCTGCTCGGAAATCAAAACATCAGGTTGCCCCATGAGGTTTGGAAATGCCTGGTAGCCATCCTCCACTACAATAGAAGAGCAGGGATTGGTGCTGCATATGGTGGCCTCTTGGCTCTTGTCATTTAGCTTCATCGCATCCCTGAACGCCTCACCAGAGCTCTCAGGCCCGGCCTTGACTCCGGACAGAACATCACAAGGGGCGGTTGTGTCGTTGCAAGTAGCGCTGGAGCACAAGCTCGAGTCTTCTGCGTTTGAAAAACTCCCAGAATCTGCATTGCACAGTTGATAGCTCATGTCTGTCGGCACCAGAGCTGAAGTCACGGGTGGTAAAATGAGGCCCTGTGGCCATGGAAGCAGGCAACCAGGTACCTGTTGGTCAGGACAGTTCACCGTGTTGCTCTCACTGGGATGGTATGCAGAGTCACAAGGTATTTCAGCCCGCATCTGGACCTCAGAGTTGTCCGCCATAATCTGCTGTGGAACGGTGAGGGCATAGGTTATGTTGTCAAAGAAAGACGATCCAGAACTCATGCCATCAACTCTGCCACCACATAGACTAATAGGAGAAGAGATTAAGCCGCTGTCTTTGTTTAATTCTGCAAGGGGACTGGTGGTCAACGGCGAGATGGGGCTGATGCCGGGGATGTCTTTACAAAGGGCATCCATCACACAGGCTTTGATGTCCAGACGTTCTGTGTTAGCATAACTGATAAGCGAGCACCCCGTGCTGATTCCACTGCTTTGCTGAAAGCTCCCACCGCTGGTGTCTGTCAGCGACATCTTTGACCTGAATATGGAGAAACAGTTAGTTAAACCGCCATTTCTGATCACATATAAATATTGTTGATGCATCAGTGCGACCACACTAACCACTGCTTGCTGTCATCTGGAAGAAGAGGCTCGACGCAGATGGAGGAGATGATGGGTGGCGCGGGCTTCAAGACCTGGAACATCTGAAACGTTTCAAATAAACTTTGTCATGTTTCTGAACGAGAGTTTTAAAGGTCCTGGTTGCTTTTGGTCACCCCTGTGGTTACCATGATAACATCAAAGTTAGACTTGTTGGACAGCTACTAAGAGCGGTAACTTCATCTGTTTATGATTCAGCCAAACAAATTCATGTTGTCATTTTAAAACCTGCAACAATTAGCAACTGCAATCTGATTTCATACTGCATGTAGCAGAAGCAGTTTTCCCACAATAAAATATGAGTAACGATGGACTGCTTGTTGCATTGGTTCCTGCAGGAAAGCAGTCAGCACCAAGAAACAATGAAAACTGTCACATGGAAACTGAAAATATGTGTATTGTTTACCGCTAACAATGGAAAGATGTCAACCAAAAATAGAATGATGTCAATAAAATTAAAAGGATATTAAGTAAAATTAATGTTTACAACAACATAAAGAGTGTGTAATTTGACCATCATCCGGTTTACGTCACTCAATGTCTCACCTCTGGCTTGGTTGAAGGAAAAATACGAAGGTTTGAATTTGAATATTTTGGAATAGAGTCCCACCATTTGGATTTCACCCTAAAATCGAATGTACAAATAAAGCAACAAAATTAAACACGAGCTACAGCATTTAAAGGTACAAGCCACAGTGTAATGAACCATATATAATGAACAAAGACTTTTCTGTCTGCATGACTTACTTTACATAACAGCCATAAATGGCACCAGTGAGGACGACTGCAGCGACACTGAGGGTGACGATGATGACCGAGGTCAGGGAGCTACGGGAAGCTGCGAAGCAACACGTATTTAGTAAGTTTTGATGATGGTGACACGATGCAGAGTGAATTGCATGAGGTTTGCCTTTAGCTCAGCAGACAGGCTTGTGTTACTCAGTGTGAAGTGATGCCGCTACTGATTCAAGTGCTACATATTGAATCAGCAGCTTGAAAATGCAGTGATGTGAAATGCTTTTTTTAGAAATTTGAGTGGCCACATGTCATCACCGACGTGCAGCAGTAATGTTAACACACCCCAGTTTGCAGATGCAAATATGGATCATTGGTCTGTTTCCTGTGTTCTCCAGAAAGGCTATTAGACTTTACAGTGACTTGTTTCTGGGAAGCAGCAACAAGGGCGTCAATTACACGTCCAGTATTTTTTTAAACAGTATTTTCACAAGCATCTCATGCGCAGTGTGCTCTGTGTCTGCATTATTATTTTTTTTTTCTATCAGTCACTCTCCTTCCATTACGAAAGAGAAGCCTTTCAACATTTTTCTTCCTGTACTGTGGCATTTGTTCTGTTTTTTTTTACTTCAATGTCAGGTCCAATGTGCTGACACGGTGCAGGTAAACACTTCCTGATAATAAGTACACGCTGGATCAGTGTTTGCCGCACTGTCACACGGCACTATATTGCAATTTGAGCACACGTTTCTGCTGGATTTACCATGAAACAGAAAAAAATAGCAGGCAGATGTAGTTTTGAATTTTTTTAAAACACAAGCCCACGTCACACTGCGTAACACCCACAGCTGTCAGTAGCGTAACGACATGTTGAACTAGTTTCATTCTGGCACTCGGAGTGAATAAGTAATAGCAACGCATAAACAATCGTTTGCACAGCTGACTTATGGACTGTGCCAACAAACTGTACTGCTTGGCGACACCTCGATTGAAAGCTGTGATGGTTCAGGCAATGTCTGCATCTCTCTTTTTTTCTGAAAAGCTGACGAGCTCCTGATGCATCCATCCATCCATTATCTATACACCGCTTAATCCTCACTAGGGGTCGCCTGGAGTCTATCCCAGCCGACTTAGGGCGAAGGCAGGGGACACTCTGGACAGGTCATCAGTCTATCACAGGGCCACACTTAGAGACAGACAACCAAGCACACTCACATTCACACCTACAGACAATTTAGAATCCCCAATTAACCTCAACATGTTTTTGGACCTTGTGGGAGGAAGCCGGAGAACCCGGAGAGAACCCACGCTGCACGGGGAGAACATGCAAACTCCACGCAGAAAGATTCCGGTGCCCCCACCGGCAACCTTCTTGCTGCGAGGCAACAGTGCTACCAATTGCGCCACCCTGCAGCCCGCTCCTGATGCATGATTCAGAAAAAAAAAAAGAACACACTGCATTAAAAGTGACAAAAAAAAGACGACACTTACCGGTTTTGAATTCCCACTCTATGCTTCTGTCACTGAACTTCTTGCTCCAGGTGGTCGAACTTCTCATGCTGAACACATACATTGTACTTGGCTTCAGGTGCAGAGCAGATATTTCATAGTAATTCTTTCCGTTGACAACAGCTTGTTGGACAAGTTTTGTTTCCTGGTGTGGATGAGAGCAAGAACAACAGTCTACAATTATAGTTTGACGTCAAGCTGATAGAATCAAACAGATAACTTTGTTGTTTGCTTGAGATAACATCGATCAAAGTGAAGTTGAGTGAATTTGACTGAGTAGAAATGACATGACAAAAATAGAGATAACTTAAGTTTGATTGATGTTGTGTCAGGTAGACGATGGAAAAGCAGGTTTTCTGAAAGTTTGTGAAGATGGAGTTCTCTGTTTTTGCAAATGAACTCTGTGCATGATCTCAGCGTTCTCCTACCTTTTCTGTGCTGCCTTTTACATAGTAAGTCACTTCAGCAGTCAGGCTCTGCAAGTAGGTTTCGTAAGTATTTATGTAGTCCGTGTCCCAAGTGAGTCCAATTTTCCCATTTAATTCTTCCACTGACAGGATTTTTGGAGTTTTGGGCTTAACTGTGCAGAAACAGAGGCGAGAGAGAGAAAGAAAAGGGAACGTGGATTATTCTTGACCTCCAGTCTGTTTAGCAGCTGCACAATTGTGGACTGGAAGTCAACCCACCGCTCTTAATGACACTGATGATTTTTGACCCCAAGCTTTGGCCTCCTCTCCAGACTGAGGCTGTGTGAGTATTTCCATAGATGAGCATCACTCTGACAGAACAGCAGCACCGTCCACTGCCACACTGCTGGAAAGTGCAACTGGTCGTCCTGTGGAAGCACAAGATGATAAAAAATAAATAAATGCAACATGGTCTGAGTACATTCAACATTTGTATTTGCATAATAACACCAGAATAGTGACAGTAATGAACTCCTCACCTCTGGTCCAAGTTATCCCTGAGCCTCAGGTCGTATTCGGTGCAGTTCGGTCGCACCATTTGGCAAAACATGGTTTCGTCATAGTCGTTGGTACACTCAAGATTTAAGCCTGTTTCAGTATTAACTCCTGCAGCACACAAACACACTGGTAATCAATTTCTTATACACACACAGAGAATATTAAACGACTATCTTGGCGTTCACTGTTCCTACCAGGCAGCGCCGCCACGGCCAGCAACAGCAGGAGCAGAGACGCGGTGTGGCGCCTGGAAGGAAACACGACAAAATACATGTTTTTCTTTTCCTTTAAAGCAACAAATGTGACGATTGAAGCAGGATAGTTGATGTCAAGTACCTGTTAAACTCCATGATGAGGCGTTTAATCCACTTCTTTGGTGTGAAGTCAGTCCATGTCCCGCGGTGGGAACGCGGACGCAGCTCTATGCGCGTCTTCCTGAAAGGCAGAGCTGTTGCTGGAAATGTTGCGCCACCGATTCTGGAGTAGTCAGTCCCACTCCCATTTCCTCAAAAAGCAGAAACAAGGCAGGAAGCCTACGCACTGTAGCCGAGGGCAGTTTCAAAAAAAAAGAAAGAAACTGGGAAAAGAAGCTGAATATAGACTGTATTCCCACTACAGTAATAAGTGTGGATTAAAAGCTTCCATTTGCGCACTCTCCTGTCCGGAGGTGTGGCAGCTTTCTGCTCCTTGTAAAAGGCGTAAACATCCTTTTGTTTCACTTTGTTATCTTAAGCTCGATGGAATGCTGTAAACCATTCTGAAGAATGTGTAAAGACTGTTTACTCTGTTACTTGAAGTGATTTACAGGAAGAGCAAAAGTATTACATGTTTTTTTTAAAGCTGAGTTCATACAACATGTCATTTCTGTCCATTATGGTCAAGTTTTTCTGTTCTGTAGATGGGACCAGCAGGACCCTGGGGGACAGTTTGGATTATTTTCAGACCACCAGATGGAAGCAGAAGTGCTGTGCTGTGTGGTCTTTACTTGAAATTCATGAGAAGAAAAAATTGAAGTAAATGAGAAGTGGACGTGTCTATAAGTGTGTGTGTGCTTCTTGTTTACTGTGTGACACTTCAAATGCAGAAGAGGTTAATTGCATAAAAAGATCTTGATTTTGCAAAAGAGGCACAACTGAGTCACCGCTGCTTTGTCTGATAATGGAACCATGTCTACAAAACTGGTTTAACACAAAGAAATACAAGTGTAGTCTAACCTGGACACGACTTGTCAGACACATTTTACATCTTAGGAGTGTGTCTGTTATTTATTTCAATTTTCTCTGTTACAAGTCTTCTTCCCAATGAGCTTTTTGAAATAGATTTATGTGTAATTATTTGGTGATATTTGCAGACTTTTTGAGATTTCTGTCACTAAGATGTCTGCAGCATCCATCCATCATCTAGCCACACTTAGAGACAGACAACCAAGCACACTCACATTCACACCTACAGACAATCTGGAATCACCAATTAACCTCAACATGTTTTTGTGGGAGGAAGCCGGAGAACCCGGAGAGAACCCACGCTGCACGGAGAGAACATGCAAACTCCACACAGAAAGATCCCGGTGCCCCCACCGGGACGCGAACCAGCCACCTTCTAGCTGCGAGGCAACAGTGCTAACCAACTGCTCCACCTTCCAGCCCATGTCTGCAGCAGCCACATTAAAAGAAATGGCACAGAGACTTTTTTGTTGGTGCTCAAAGTCTTTAAAACAGATGCTTCAAATGCAGCAGCAATGTGTCTCCACAAGTAAAATGTTCCAGCTTTCATGTTCAGCAAAAAAAAATTCCAAATTTCCAAATCACTTTTTTCTGTTGCTTTCGTTCTAAGTTCGTTAAAAAAAAAAAAAAAAAAAAAAAGTCATTTTCAGGGAATAATTTCACAATGCTAACTGAAAACCGACAGCTCTTCGTGACAACTGATTGTTGAGTAATCTGTTGGGCAATCACTCAAATCTGATGCCTCAGTGTTAAAAAGAAATACAACAAAACTCTGTATTTGTGATCGGCTGAGTTACATCCTGATGTGCTTTATTGAGCCCCCACGAGTGAAATTCAAAAGCTTCTAATGTTCGTTATAATCAAATGTCATCCAAGTCACACATCAGTCACTCCTCTACAGACAGAATGACTTAGTGCCGATCAAAAGGTGAAAAGACCGCAGCTCAGAAAGCTGCTGGACGCTCTGGGCATTGTTAAGAAACCTGAAACAACTGGGCTTATGAGGCTTTGCGGGATCTTGGTGAATGATTCCTCCTATCGCTTGTCCAAATGTTCCTCGTGCTCACAGCTTCACTGCTCTCTAAACTCTCTAAAGATTTTGAAATGCCTGATAGTCGTCACCAACTGCAGGAAACCCGAGTGACAGTACAGGCACACAGCTGTTTGTGTCACACATCTTGGCCTCTTTGCCGTTCAGCTTTGTTCCACTCTTGACCACCTCATCTGAGCTCTTACACTCAGTCTAAACTCTGAATGTGAGCTCACAAGAGGCGGTTGTGTTCATACCACTAGACACAGAGTCTTCTGCATGTGGAAATTCACCCAGAATCACATCTCACTAGAGATGAAGCGACTGCTGGTAAAATAAGATCTTATGCAAGAACCAGACAAGCTGGTACCCTCTGAGCAGGAACTTATCAATGTCACTGAGACAGTATGCAGAGTCACAAGGTATGTCAGCCTGCATCTGAGTTCACAGCAACTTGGTGTCATGGTCTGATGTCAGCAGATGGGAATGCAGATGGAATAGGTCATGCTGTCAAAGGAAATGTTTCACTATCTGAGGCATCAGCCCAACCACCTGTCAGTTGATTTACTGCAGTTGATCCTTGTATATGCACAAAATCAACTGTGTATTCATGAGATAAGATCTGAACATTTATGGAATGTCACAATGTCAGTCTGCACGTCTTTAAACACATGTAAATGTTTTTGCATTGTCACCTCTCTAAAGGTCTAATACAAACATGCAGCAAGCTCCTCATGTTGAAATACCTGATTTTGATTATTTGGGCCTTGAAAAAGATCTTTATTGTTCATGCAGAAGACATATGCAGCACACTGCTTGGCAAAGTGGCTGTAAAAACAACACTTGGAGTTGTAAATTCCCACTCTTCCCTTCTGTCACTGAACTTTGCACCCATATTTGTGAAGCTTCTGATGATATGGTGATGTGATATTTGTGGCATACTAATCCTTTATTGAGCACTTCTACAAATTTATGCACAGACCCGATGTGCTCGAGGTCTCCAAGATCGTTCACCACAGTGAGAGCATACTTTTCAGCTCCCATCCAAGAAGCATCTTCAGTTCTGAACCAATCATTGCTGCCTTTAAATAAATGTTCCAAATGCATTAAATGTAACTTGCCTCATCTTTTATTGTTTTTTGGGTTTTTTTTGGTTTAGAGGTGCATTTTTTTAAACATGAAAACAGAGTTGGATGATCTCAGTTGTAGATCATAAATGAGAAAGACAATTTTTTATTGATAGATGTCTGCGATTCACAGTGGGGAATTTTCAAATAAGAAAATGTTGTCATTTACTGTAGTTAACGTTAAAAACAGTGGAAGCGTTATACACTGTTGCCCATAATGTTGGAATCATTTTTGTTTTCAGACACATTCCTCTTTTGATTATCATTATCATTTCATAAGAAGAGGTAAAAATAAATAAATGAATAAATTTGATTCCAACTTTACGTGCAACAGTGTATATATTCAGCATATCACATCTATCTATCTATCTATCTATCTATCTATCTATCTATCTATCTATCTATCTATCTATCTATCTATCTATCTATCTGTCTGTCTATGTTTACCTTTATTTACCTTTATTTAACCAGGAAGTCCCATTGAGATTATAAATCCCTTTTACAAGGGAGACCTGGCCAAGGTAGCAGCCATGCAAAGTCAAAAAACAAATACAAAACAGATACATGATAACAGATGAATAAGGAACAGTAAAACAATAAAACAGATTGACAGCTATTCAAGGACAGTGGCCTCTCAAGAAAAACAGTGACTGTATTCTTTATGATGCTCTTAAACTCATTAATGGATGTGAATGTGTCAGTTTAGGAGTTTTTTGAAGATTGTTTCATGACCATGGTGCATGATAGGAGAACGCTGTTTTACCAAAATCTGTTAAAATCTGGAGGACATTTAAAAGCAACCATGTTGAGGCAGATGGTACCTACTAGAGCTGATAGTGAGGAGGGTGTTGAGGTATTTGTGGAGTTTGACCAGCAGAGCTTTATAGTTGAACATATACCAGTGTTGTTGTCTATGAATGCTTAGTGATGTCCAACCAACCAAATCATGAATACAGTGGTGAGTGAGCGATTTTGCATTTGAAATTAAATGTAGTGAAGCCTGTTACAGTCACAGCAGTTACAGTATTAAACGGAAAACCTCATATCCTTCTTTGCAAACCTGTAATGAATTAAATCACAATTATAACACTGTAAAAATACCGTTTAATGCTGCCAACCAAAGCTGCCAGAATTTTACTGGGAATGTTATTAGTTTTATCTAACATGCAGTTCCGCGTTCGGCCGGTAGGCGGCGGTGACGTTCCTCCCAGCTGAGTCAACAGGAGACTGTGAATCAAAACACGAGGAAGACGTAGCAGCGTTCTGTTTAGGAGCAACAAATGAGTGTTACCGAACAACGACGGGGCATTGAAATTGAAAGTTGACGTTTTTATGTGCTATATTTTAAATTTAAATCAGCATTTATATCCGTTTTTGTCACAGTTTTTGGTAGCGAAGTTTCCTCCGTTGAACTTGTGCATTTTGAGAAGTTAGCCTGGCGTTAGCATGCTAGCTACAGGTGGATCTCCCGGTCGACTCGATGTCTGTGAGACGGGCTCTGGTGGATTGTGCTGTGTTGTCTCTGCAGGATTCCTGTGTGTTTTATCCGTGCTGTAAAGGCTGCTTCTGCAGGGTGGATGTCGAACAGCAGGACGCGACGAGGTAAACGAGCAGCGAACCGGACTGAAGGACCTGTTTGGTTAAACTCCAGATAGAGAAGCAGCGGCTCTGTAGAAAACTCTCTTTGGAAACTTTGCTGTAAAGAAATGCTCTGTTGAATTGTCCCAATCAATAGAAATGCTTTGTGCCAACAGCACTTAAATAAAGCAAGTATCTCAATGAGTTTCATATTTAAAATGAGTCGATGAGATAAGATCTGCTTTTATTTATCTCACAGTGAAGAAATTCAGTGTTTTCAGCAGCAGTACACTCAGAGATACACACACTAGAAATAAACATTTACATATAAGAAATAGTGCAAACATAAGTATAAAATTACACGTATAAAAAAGACAAGTGCGAGCACAGAATATAAAAATAAAGATATAAAAGATATGATGAGTTCATTTGCAAAAACAGATAACTCCATCTTCACAAACCTTCAGAAAACCAACTTTTCCATCGTCTACCTGAGACAATATCAATCTTAAGTTATCTCTGTTTTTGTCATGTCATTTCTACTGAGTCATCTCCACTCAACTTCAGTTTGATTGACAACATCCCAAGCAAACACCAAAAAAAGTTTTCTGATCTTCGACAAAAATGGAGTTATCTGTTTTTGCAAATGAACTCTTCATATAGAAAATGCATATGCGATGCGTATTAAGCCTGCACAGCTCCCTCCCATGTAGATCTTGATCCATCTGTCTTCTCTTGTCCACCCACCACAGATACAGATGCTCCAGATGTGGTTACAGGTGTCTGAGGGAACAGGTCGAGTACAGGTATCGCCTCTCTCTGAGGGTGACCTGGGACAGTCGCATATTTGGCGTCACAGTGTTTGGAAGCAGCCTGAACCCATTCTTTGGCATTCATGCAAGTGAATTACAGAGGTGAGTTAAAAAAACATGACCTTACAAGTTATTTTTGTTAAAGTTATTTTTGAACCTTACAAGTTCTGTTTCATCAGTCTTGCATCACCAACCCATCATGTCTCGTGCTAATGGTTTTGCACAGTCTCCCTCCACATACAGTAGTATGTTAGTATCACTATTAAAATGTATCTCAAGGTTTAGAAGCGGTGTTGCAGTGGTTCCCTAAGAAGTCGTTAAGCACAGGATGTGAACAGAAATAAGTTAGTGCATGATGTAGAAAAATCTGGCATTTATTCCGTGAAACTGTACCTTCTCTGTTTTTGCTTTACCAGTGTTTAATTAGGCACATTTAAAAATCTCAATTTGTGATTAATGTTTTCTCTTTTTGCTGTTTACTGAAGAGCAGTGTGCGTTTTTGTTGTGTCCGTCATTTTGAAGGTTAGTGGAAGACTTGGATGGGCCGGTTGAACCATCAACAAGACTCACGTTGCTGGTGAAGGCTGTTGAGGACTGTTTCATCGGCAGACATTTCATCTTTGGTTTAAAGGTAAACGTATGATAGAAACGTTTGTATGCTAGTTATGTACAAATATTCTAACTACAGCTACAAGTAACTGTTAACCATAAGATTGAGTCTTTGTGTTTGTATAACTGTGCCTGACTCCACTGCTTTGTCAAGAAAAGTGTAGAAGCGAATTTCTGTACTAAATTCACTGATATAAATATAAATTAGTTACTGAATATATTAATGGTGGTTTTTGAATGATTTACACATTGGCACATATATGAAATAGCTACTTAGGTGCCAGAATATTGTGTGTTCTTTTTGTCAACCACCCCTCTTGGTAAATCCAACCTTAAACAGCACTGCAAATTACAATAACACAAACTTGACAAGCCAGCCATGCTGACATTTCAGTTGTTATTAGCTCATTGAGAACACTTCTGTTGATATTTATTGCATTAATGAGGTAGCACCATTAAGGCCAGTGTACTTTCTGAAAGCTTATCAGGTGCAACAGACAAAGTAGTCAGTAGCCGTACAAATCAGACAGAATAAATATCAAAATCAAATCTGGTCTGTGATCTGTTAATTCATTTCCTATTTTTAACTTGTGCACAAACTATGAAGTATGAATTAACTATGAATCATGAAATAGTTTTTTATTTTCTGATGTGGTTTCCCACTTGAATGTACAAAGAACAAATGATACACGGATTAATATGTCAAAGTGTGTTTTATTGAATTCAATTCTAGGTTGCGTGATTTCATTTGTCTCTGTTGTCATCTGTGTCTTTCAGGCAAGCGAAGCAGAAAGTGGACCTTGGTTTGGAGGATCCTTCCCGAATGGCTTTTCCAGTACAGACCAGTTTGTTGCCAGTCAGATGATTCTCCCCAAAGCTACGGGCCTGGCAGGCTGCACGGTCGTCAGTTATTATCGGAGTCTTCTTCAGAAAGTTTCAGAATATGAAGGGGGATCCGGTGATTCCAGCAAAACCTGCAGACTTCCAGCAGCAGCCCTGCTGCTAATTTCTGATCATTCTCCAACCAGCAGCTTTAATAATGTCACACTGTCTGCCTCTGGTCTCCTGTCCCCATCACTGCAAAGGTAATGAAAGTAGAAAGTTATATATTGCTTCCTGTCTGGTAATTCACTGTATTTTGTGTCCAGGACAGACTGTAGCGAACACAAAGAAATAACAAATGTTGCTCAAAATGACTCCGCAACACAAATTCTTACAAGGTCATTAGTTTGATGAGTGAGCCTTTTAATCTTTTCTTACATGTCAGCCAGCAAGCGCACAATTTGTGGCCACGTCTTTTTTGTTTTTCGTGACAGTTCCTTTTGTTTCCGTCCTAGATCACAGCTCCAGGACTGCACCCTTACTCCCACCCCTCCATGGCAACAGTCACTCGGAGTAATTACTTCGTCAGCAGAGCAAGAGGAATGCTGCGGTACCCAGGGTAGTGGAGATGAGACCAGCAGACAGACAGGCAACAGCACCACACCACATCCTGCACAAAGAGGCTGCCTGGAGAACCATAACACCACCGAGGAGAGAAGTTCTTTCCTCGCTGTCGAGCACAGCTTGTATAGTAGTCCATCATTTGTCAAATACCCAAACTTATCTGTTAAAGAAGCGGTTGAAAACAGCCCCGTCCTGAACACCTGGCTCAGTCCCTCACAGCCTGACTGCAAATGGCACAGCGCCGATGTGAAGGAGCTTTCTCCCAGACAAGCTAACAGAACATTTTTGTCAAGCTCATTGGTTTGGGAGGATTTGCCTTTCTCTGAGAGTCTTACAGCATTTTTATGTGAAGAAAACAAAGATTTTAAAGTAGCTAGTGAAACAGAGTCCAATGGAAATGTGCACCAACAGAAAGAAACAGCAAAAAGTACCCTGGACATTACAAACTCAGCAACTGAATCAACTTCTGCTAGTCAGAGAAACACCCACATGACACACAGTCATTCACAGATGTTCCTAGATATCACTAATACACCTGCTTTGGGTGGAGCGGACAGACATGGTTTATTAAACCAGGTACATGGGAACCCTCTGGAATGCCTGACCAGGAGTGAAGAAAGAAACGTTTGTTCCCGTGAGTGTAATGAGCAGGATGAGCAGGATAGTTCCCAGTGTTTTGAAAAGGAAGAAGAGCAGCTTCAAGGGGACACTTACAACTGTTCAGCAGACCTTTTCAGTGGCTCACTCACGAACACAGAGATGCTCAACACAAATGCAGAAACTGTCAGAACAGCCACAGAAGCTTGCCCGCTGTTTACAAAGCCAGACCAACAGCATCAAAGAGATGGGAACGCTAATGTCACATGTTCAACACCAGCCAAACACAAGCTCAAAAGCAGGAAATGCACCAACAGGAGCAGTTTAATCCCACAGATCACTCAAGATTTTGAATTTGTCCCTCCCTCTCAGTCCACCCCCATCGTAAAAGTAGGTGTTGTGTCCCAGTCGCCTGCCTGCTTATACAGAAACTTGACGGGTGATTGCAATTTACAACTTGACTATCAAGATTCTGGAGCTTTTTGTGGAAATCTGCATCAACTGGACAATAAAAAGCAAGCTAAAACCACCACCACCCCCTCTGTCTTATGTAAAAGGAACGCTTTCAAGGCTAACAAGCTGTTTCAGCGCGGCAGAGAGTCTACAAAAGAAAACTCAGTGTGGAGCAGCACATCCAGAAGATGCAGCTACAGACTTACTCCAGGAAGGAGGTTCTGGAAAGCCGACGAGCACAAAAACCACCGACAGGCTCAGCAACACCTGAGGGTTCAGGGAGAGGCTCAAAACGAGGGACCAGCGGGAACAGTTGACCACAAATTAGACTCAAAGGTTTGTGATGATGAGGACAGTGAAGTAATTGTTCCCCCGACACCTGCTGGTAAAACACAATGTAGTGCAACGCCCAGAAGAAGGAGGCAGACTGATGACAGGAGCTGTCATTTGGGTTCTGCCTGGGACGGACAGCAGGGAGGATTGAACTGTAAAAGAACTCTGTTGGATCAATCATCACAGAGAGGCGGGACAGTTCTTGAGGGGAGTCTCGATGGATCTAATGATTACCTCCTTGATAATGAGAACCTGACGCGTGATTGGTCCAGAGATCTGTTCTCTGACTCAGCCTGAGAGCTTCTGTTGCAGATTGACTTTAAAAAATGTGCCAGAAATTCAAAGATTGTTGTACTTCATGCCAGTAGGCCAAATTATAATCCCCTTTTGTGTCGGAGGAGTAGCACTGCTGCTTTTACCGTTACTAATGCTGCACTACTCTGTCCATAGAGTAGACTAAAAGAAAAGAGCACATACTTTAAATACTAAAGATAAGAGAGAGGCTGTCTCACCCTGTCTTCTGCAGTTTGCACCATGTGTCTGGAAATGGAGTAATTTGCTTGATTTTTATGCACTTTTTAGCTCGCATTGTCACTCCAATGGGATGTACCAAAGCTTTAAGTTTTCAGTTCAGCACCTGATCTCACAAATAGTAGCCGTCAGGGAGAAAATCAGCAAATATCAGCAAATCCTTACTGCTAACTGTGTTTTTGCAATGACATGTTTTTAAAATTACTGAATACTTTTTCTGCACTTTTTCTGTGACTTTTTAAATTATTAGGCTTTTATTGGAAACATTGTCAGACACCTTCAGCTCAGACGAACTTTTGAACGTCGCGCCTTGTCTGGATTTGAATGATGTCGTGCCTGTGACGCGTTAATAACGCTGTGTTCTCGAGGCTTTCTGCTGATGCACGCGCACTGTTATATTTGGTACCATTTATTTCAGCCTCAGTTGCATCACGTGTGTGAGGATCATGTGTGTCTGATTAGGTGGGTATCTGATTTATTAACTGCTGCTATGACATCTAGGAACCGTTGGAATTAAAGTATTAAAATTCCTAACAGATGTGCTTTTTTTTTTTTGGTTTGTTTTGCATTTAATCTTTATTGACAAGATAGTAGTGGCTGTGGAAGAGAGGCATATATGGGGCAAAGGTCCGCAGCTAGAACTGAGACAGAGATGTTGCACATTGAGTATTTTTTCAGTATGTATCTTAACACCGAGGCCAACAAGACACACGGCCACTTCTTGAACGCTCTCCAGGCTTATTCGAATCGCTCTGGCACGTCTTTTGGCAGCAGGGTCCTGAAGTAGACCTGGCGTCCTGCTGTTACTATGTGTGTTCTTGCAGGGAGTGTTAATGTAGGGACGAGTGGGTACAATGTAATGCCAAAGAGCTAAGAATAGAAGCCATGACTGCAATGTTCTGGATGTGTGGGGGAAAGGAAGAAGAGCAAGACGAAGATGATGTTACATGTGTAAAAATGGAAGTGGGACAACAAGTAAACAGCTGGAGACCTGTACTGTATGTGTTGCAGAAATAGGGTTGGTATGTAGTCAGCTGGGTATAGCGTGATTGTCAGTGTGTGCAGTGTATACCAGGACAATGTACGTGATGGACTGGCATAGGTCTTTTTTTTTTTTTTTTTTTTGTACGGACATTCAAGGAGCCCAGAAGATGAGCCTCAATGACTTTGAGGATCTCCTGACTGTTAAAGCCGGAGCACCACCAGCAGGTTGACATTTGTGGTTCAGAGTGAAACGTCTCGACAGCTGTTGGACAAACGAACATGCAGTTTGGTGCAGACGTTCCCGGTCTTTGTTATAATGATCGATCGCTATTAAGAGATCAAAATTTTAAAAAGTAATTTGGTGTTTGGAAAAATTTGGTTTTGAATTTTATTTGTCACATTGTCACCTTAACAAAAGACAATCTACCTGTATACCTGTACAGCATCTCACTGAGAAGAATAAAGATGCGTAACTGGATTAAGAGTTTGACAAAATGTAGAGAGCATGCAAAGCTGTTATTGGAAAGCAGACAAAAAAAAAACAGAATTTTGCCTTGTTTCCGCTTTTTCCTTTTGCTTACTACATAAATCCAAATGTCTTTTTAACAGTTTTTCTTCCTCCTCCTTCCTCCTCCTCTTGTCTCCTCCCACAGTCTTGCTGGTTAGGTTAGCTGGCAACTCATAATCGCCTGTACGTGTAAATGTGCAAAGCGCCTCTCGACCAATGCCAGCTGCCTCCTGCGGCCTTCCGAGGGATAAGCAGGTACAGGTAGTGGATGGATTCCACGTCTGTAGGGCTGCAGATGGTGGAGGGATTATGTTGAAACTCACTTTTGCGTTCATTAAAGAAGACACTCCACCGTGTGCTGGAAGTATAGTACAGAACGTTAGCTACTAAACAACGTCAGTCATAGCGCATGTTTGAAATGTCCCTGCGGTGCCCGTTTTTTTGGTTATGTCACACTGGCATGCGGCTGCCAAGAGCAAGACGCTTGTTTTGGTATTTGGTGTGCATGCGTCTGACAGCTTTGGCTTCGGTAGCTTCAACTAGTATCAGCTTCATGCACATGGAAATTGAAAATTCAGTCTTGCAAGAGAATCTGACCTGATAGTACAGATAAAAACACACAAATCTAAAGAAATACTATTTTGCTTGTCCTGTTTAGAAGCCCGACTGTTGGCATTAGTTACTTTTTCTCATTTTGACTGCTTGTGTTTGCAGATACCTCTTTAAACGCTCCCAATAAATAGACTGCATCTACTGATTCAGGAACCAGTCAGTAAAATGTGTGACTTGCTGTATTCCTTGACTAAAAATAAAGGCGTTACAAATGGGATGGACACAGCCATTGTTGCTCTCTTGTGAATTGACCCTGAACCTTTAGAGGCTTTGTGCGTACAGTAGCAGAACGTGATGTTGCTAAAAACTGCAGCCGTGATTGTGACCACGGGAGCCGCTCTCTTTTGCATGCAACTGCAGTCCACTACGTGAGCTATGTCACTACACACCGGCTGAATGGAAACAAGCAGAGCTGCCATGAGCCAAGCTTACGTGTGGTACTCTTTGTGTGTTGTTACTGGTCACCTGGTGTGATTTGTACACTGACCAGCCACCTGCCTGTGTAGGTCCCCTTCATTTAGCTGAAACATCTCTGACTCGTCAAGGCACGAAACCCACAGATCTGTGAAGGTGTCTTGTGGTATCATTCATTAAGATGATATCAGCAGATCCTATATGTCCTCCCAGTTGAGGATGGGGACTCTGTAGATCAGGGGTGGGCAATCCTGGTCCTCGAGGGCCACAATCCTGCATGTTTTAGATGTTTCCCTCTTCCAACACACCTGATTCACATGATCAGGATCGTTATCAGACTTCTGCAGAGCTTGATGATGAGCTGACCAGCATTGCCCACCCCTGCTGTAGATTGTACTTCTTTTTGCAGCACATCCTACAGGTGTTTAGGGGAGTTAGGGGTCCAAGTCAACACTTTGAGCTCCTCGTCACGTTCCTGTTGTCCTCCTGAAAAAGGTGAAGTACTGCTGGTGTGATCTAGTTTAGGAAGGAGCTACATGTCGGCATTTTCCACCGTCTAGATTAAGATGCTCACGTGCACATTGTATGCTTTCAGCTGTAAAGATGGGTCAGCAAGGACGCTCTGACAGGCATCAAGCTATGTATGTTCTGACACCTTTCTATAATAGCTGCATTAGGATTTCAGCAGTTTGTACTGCAGTAGCTTTTCTGTTGGGTGGCACTGGGCACCACTTGTGCCAGTGTTCAGTGCCCACGTGCATCAGAGAACCTTGGGTGCCCATGACCCTGTCGATGATCCAGCTGTGGTTTTTCCTTGTACCGCTTTTTGTAGGCACCAGCCACTGACCCAGCTGTCTAACCATCAATATATGGCCCTTGGCATTCCTCAGGTCCTTACACTTGCATATGTTTCCTGTTTACAACACGTCAACTTTAAGAACTGATGTCCACTCGCTGCCTAGCCAATCCCCTTGAGAGGTGCCAATATAACAAGATGTTATCAATGTTATTCATGTGGTTTTAATGTTGTGGCAGTTGAGTGTACACAACACAATTATGTGCCTTATTCAGCTACCATGAAGCAAAATTTATTTTACCTAAATATTTTTTCCTAAATTTTATTCTGGCACCTTGTTTGTATAAATTAACTTAATAACATAGGAAATCTATAACTATGGGTGATTTTAAGCAAAATACCAGTACACAACTCCCTTTTTCTATAGAAAACATTAAAGCCTAGTCTGCTACATTCATTCAGTTTGCAGTAAACAGATCAGTCTTAGTGCGTGAGATTCATATTTTATACATACTTCTATGTACCATCAGAATAAACTGTGTCGTTAGGCGTTATTATTAGCTTTTAGTAAGTGCTGCAAGATGCGTTTCAAGCGGTTCACTGTGTGATGCAGGGTGCTCCAGTAGTATTTCCATTGCACACTGGAAGGGAAAATGTAGTAGAGCCCTGCGGTCAGCGAGACGCTGGGCTGTAACGTTAGAGTGCTGCAGAGATTAAAAGGCGTGACAAGCACATGGTGTGTAAGGGTGGAGAAACGGCTCAGTATGGAGTTGTCAACAAAACGTCAGCTGAGGGGGACAGGCTCGTAGTCTGACACTGGAGAAGTTTCCCTCTAGAACCAAAGCAGGTAGAAACGTTTGCATGTATCACACGTTTCTCCTTCAGCGCTCTCTGCTGTGGCTTTCGTGTGACTTTAACAATGCAGCAGTTGACTCTAGAGGAGACTCAGAAGTTGGCATATTAAGTTAGTTAATGCTTGAACTGACCTCTGACCTCCCTGCAACAAAAAATAAAGGGTTGCTTTAGACAGTTAAGTCCTTTTTCAGTATGAACACTCGCCCTGTGCTCAATCTTTCACCTTGACAACTTGGTATTTACTGCATATTTGTATCATTCAGAAAAATAACCTCCCTCATGCAGTCTTCTTGTGATGCGAGTGGAAACACTGTCTCTGTTTGCTACGGTTCTGTCAGTTCTCAGTGGGCCGGTCTCACTGTCCCTCCATAACAGGGAATGGAGATTCTGACGTTAGACGCCGGCACTCCTTATAAGCACCTGTCCTTCCGCGTCATGCCATGCTCCCGATATGAAAAGCGTGTGATTGTTTTCCATAAGACACAGTGTGCGTAGATAGTAAACTGGGACTATATAGCCTCTATAGAGGTTCTTTTCATCATTCAACTGCAAGCAAGCAAGTGGAGGTTTGCTGCTTTTCTCCCAACACAACATGGAGGTAAGAGAGTATTTATTTCTATGTTCAGATAGCTTGCTACTTTAGTGAAACAATCAAGTAAAGATTTGCTGTCTTTAGGGTTGTAAATTTCTATATTTGTTAAGCGTATTAGCGGATTGGAAATGTTTATTGATAAACATCCATATTAAAAGAATGCATGTATTGTTTTGTTAGTGGGTCTATTGGAAGAACTTTGCGAGCTTGTACATTCCTGAATGTAACTGAAAGAAGGTGTGTTTATTGGATAGAAATGAGGATGTAATGCTGTTTCTCAGTTCAAGAATATATTGATATGTTTAAATATCTCTTGAAGCTTTGACTAGAATCTCAAGGTGCATGCTAAGAGAGAACCTGCAAAGCTGTCAGAGGAAGTACTTGAATCATTTAGCCTCACTCAAAGTTAGCAAAGACTGATGCTGTCTTAAAATACTAGTAAGACACCCAAATTACCATTAAAGCAGTTTTCATGACTTTCAGTCTATCTTAGTCTTCATAGATAAAAGTCCTTTCTCATGTGCTTTCAGTGACTGAGACACAATCAACAGTTGTCCTTCCATGCAAATTTGTAACTCAAGTTTATGTAAAACTATTGTAATACAAGTTTCAGTCCATTGAATGAGACGTATCATCTGAACACCTTATAAAAGTACAGCTCTTTCAGTGTTAAATTCCTTCTTTGTGGTTTTCTTTTGGTGCTAAAACACTCTAATCTTAGATGATTCTCACTCAGTTTATCTAACGTGGCCAAATGAAGCTTTATATTAACTTCAGTTAAACTGTTTAATGCATTTTTACACAGCTGTGTGCACTGTGTCCCTCATCAGTTACACTGAAAATGCATTAGAACGAGATGTTACAAGCACCAGCATAATCAGGACAAATAGTTACAGCAAGACAAGTCTGTTCATCAGGACAGTAAAAAAGAAAAATAGAACCTATCCTTTATCAGTGTGAGATTCTTCACAGGTATTCTTCTGTCTTGTTAACTGCACATAACTCCTGTGGACTGCTCTGAACTCTCCAGGTGGCATCCTGTGTCCAGGACGTTGGCAGCCATGCAGTGTCACTGTTGGCTTATCTGAACCTCCAAAGAGAGCAAGCTCAGTTCTGTGACTGTGTGCTCCTACAGAGACAGAGCCCAGCTCAGCTCTACCCTGCACACAGGTGAGCAACAGAAGCTGCTTAAACAAACAAACAAACAAACAAACACCTCCACATGTACATATTGGTCAAACATTCTTAAATGTCGTATGTTTCTAATTGTCCTGCATGTCGATCTTTGCTCCTCCAGGTGTGTTCTGGCAGCTTCTAGTCCAGTGCTGGCATCTATCTTGTCTTGCACTGGTGCCCTGGTGGAACTTCAGGCTCCATGTCTGTCCGACGCTGTATTGGCACCTCTTTTGGACTACATTTACACAGGAGCTGTGCCATACGCTGGTAGCCAGCAACAGTATTACAGTCTGCTCACTGCCGCCTGCTACCTGCAAATGGTTGAACTGCAGGAGGCTCTGACAGCCTGGCAACAAGCTGAGGTGAATGCTGCAGAAACTGCTGATGCTTCCTCTGGAGCTGAAAATCAACCATATAAAGACATTAAGAAAACTTATAGGACAACTGTGAACACCTTCAGTGATCTGCGGCGAACATCCAGCAGCGATGCCTTCAGAAGAGTTGAGGAAACAGACACTCACAGTGTACAAAGTGCTACAAGTTCACCGGAGAGAGAAGCTCATCAGTATTTAGCAAATGTGGAAACATTTAGTGAAACTCAGATGCATTCAGCCAGTAGAGATTTAAGAGACCCAGAAACAGTTACAAGTAGAAATAACAGTAAACATGATGCCAACAACTGTAGCACATCAGCTGCAAACACTTCAAGCAGTGAAAGTGATGCAAATGCAGGCGACTACAGACAGGTAGCATATCAGACACGGCAGGATTTGATTCGGAATAGCCCTGGCATTTCTGAAGTTCATGACGTGTCTGAAGTGGACAAAGAGGTCCAAATGGATCAGTTTCATTTGACTGGCATTGTAAAGTCAGAGATCTGGCAGAAGAGCAAAGAGGAGGAGCCCGTTACAACAACCAAGGACAGGAGGAGCTCGTCCTCATCACCGTATCCAAGTTGTGGGGCAGTGCCCGTCATCTGTCACAGCGGTAGAGCGGCTGTCCTCCAGCTGGCAGAAGTGTCTGCGGTGCCTCCGCACCGTCCAGCATCCCGGCCTCCAGTCAGCTCCAGCAGGGCTCCTGTCTCACGGTCAGCAAGTACAGACAATGACGGCATTGTAGAGGGTTTTACCACTAAACACGAAAGTCCATATGGAGCACAGAATCAGGACTACAGACACAATAACCACCACACTGTAACACAAAGTCGGGATTACCACGATAGTTCAGATCAGTGTGCTATACAGGATTTTAGTTACACATCCAGTGCAGGTAGAGCTGATGTGTTGAAACAGGATTACAACAGCAGCAATACAGAGCATTTTATAGTACAGAATAATGAACGTATTAGACAAGGATTGTCCCACAATACAGAACATCTGAGGGATGACTCAGTGCCACAGAATACAGACGGGAACAAAGGGTTAAAGTCTAAAAGTGACCACAGTCTTGATGATTTCCCCTCTAAACATAAGCGACTAGATTGTTCTGAGTGCCACAATGTCTCCTTGGCAACTGCAACAGAGCAGCACTCACAAAGTCTGAGAGCTGCAGTTTCACTTCCTGTAGAGCACTCAGACACACAGAGGAACTCTCACCGTAAAGATTTATGTCCCGAGGGAGAAGCGAAAGAGGAACACAGTTACTCGAGCAGGTGTCCGGCTAAAATGGATGTGCAGGACAGCCGCTGCAATCTCTATGTGCATAAGATAAATTGGTACTCGAACATGTATAGAGCTGGAAAAAGTACAACAGATTGTGCCACTAGCCAGGATGAACATGATTCAAATAACAGACATACAGCTATGCAAAGCAGAGCACACAGTGTTGATATGTGTCCGCCTGTCTCCATCACACCAGAGTCGAGCTTGGATAACGTCTCTGGCAGGCGCTCTCCCTTTGAATGCTGCTCATCTGTGGAACCTGAACAGATCTCAGGCACTGAGACCACAGAGCCATGCTTATCTCTTACAATGACTGTGGACAGCAACAGTGCTGTGGGCCAGTCTTACCGTGGACATCTTCATTATCACTGCCTACCACAGGAGGACGTGCACTTATCACATGGAGACGGCGATCATAAACACACCCAGGCTAACCGCTCTGATCACTCAGGCGAGTCGAGTGATGAGGAGGCCAGTCCAGGTCCTCTGAAGCAGCACTTTGCCGCAGGGACAACTGACAGAGTTGTCTTGCTGGACATTAGCACCAAACCTGCTGAGCTGCTCGTATCCCGCAAACACAGATCTGACGGCGAAGAGAGAGGAGTCGGAGAAAAGAGCACCTTTAAAATTAGGATCAGAAATGAGAGTTTTGATGAGGCTGAAAGGAAATCTTGGGATGGACAGACAAATGGTGATAAAAGAAAATCTGCAGATGACGACCAAAGCAGACCAGGAGCTGAGGTCATACAAAAAGCTGAGGTCTTGGAAGTAGTTTCCGACCCGAAAGAAGGTGAGAACAAATTCGGTACCTGGACAGCCTGTTCAGCTCCCAGTGTGTCAGACTCTGCACAAGCCTCCATGTCATCCACCTTGTCTGTTTGCATACCTTCTACCCTTTCAGCCAGCGTGCCATCAAACATTTCAACTCATCTGTCAAGTCCTGCTCACCACCCTTTCCAGTGTTCTCTATGCGATCGTTCCTTCAGCCAGCGAGGCTCTCTGAATAGACATGTGCGCAGCCACCTTGGCGTAAGGCCCTTCCCCTGTCCCCACTGCCCTATGACCTTTTCGCGGCAGTACCGTGTCACAGAGCACATGCGTGTTCACCAGCGCTGCGCACTTGGGACTGACTTTCAAAAGCCCCCTGCCTCGTCGATTTGAGACGATGCAAAGAGGCGCCAAATCTGAAATTTGTCATTGAGAGACAGTGATATTCAAATGCATTGTTTTTTCCCCCCAATAGCTCGCTTTAAGTTTGTCCTGCTGGCGCTGCAATGTGATAACAGGCTATTTTTAATGATGTGGTGGAAAAACAACAAGCACATAAGTATTTAAAAGAGGTGCAGTGTTTCTTTCAGTTAACAATGCAACAAGGCAACTTGTTTGTGGAAGCTGTCATTCATAGTGATCAGCCAACAGAGGAAATGCCAAGGCACTTCCCCTCAGAACCATGGTGCTTTAATCGTTTTAGGTCTGCACCTTCATTTCTTTAATTCAAACTTAACTCTGTTGGTAGCGGAGAAGTCTGAAAAAGACCAAGTATGTGAACCTGCCGAGAAGAAAATGTCAGACAGATACAGTTAGCATCTAGACGGAGAACAAAGTTCCCTTTGGTGTAGATCAGTGAATGCCTTAAGTGGCTAGAATTTTTTATTTTTTTTATTATAGAAGTGGCTCATAGTGATACAGAGATGATCACTTGAATCTGCAGTTCCCCTTTTCTTTTCCGATCTTTACAGTGAGTTAAACTTTCTGTTTAGCCGTCCCACCTGCAGCTTACTGTTTTGGCAGCTATTTTTTTATTTTATTTATAAATGAAACTGCTCTACAAACCCACTGTGCTCTACCAGCACCAAACAGGGGAACACGGTCGAGCATTTAGCAGCTAAGGAGCGAGATATTTCCTTCCAGGAGTTGGTAGAGACCAAAAATGGCAAAAAAGACAGTGAATAACGGGCCTCCATTGGCCAGGTAGCCGGAACCATGACTCCAAATGAATGAAAATGTTTTCCTGTGTCTGCTGAATATGTAACCGCAACAACTTTTAAAGTGATGGATGATATGCTGCATTCACAGTTTGTTTTCTTTGCTCCCAGGTGACCAAAAAATAAGTAAAAAAAAAAAAATGCAAATGATTTATTCATTCTATTCTTGCACTATTTGCTGTGGACTTCAGCAGAAGTGTTAATTTATAGATTAATGACAGAAACAAAAATACCCAATTTTAGGCTCATAATGCATGTTTTTGAAGTAATTTTGAAGTTTATAACCAGAAGCATCACAAGTCATTTCAGCGTTTTTAACTGTAATGCAGAACTCTCATGTTGCATAAAAGTGTGCTTACTGCAGGCAGAGTTTTACAAGTCAACTTCATTCCATCCAGTACTCAGTAGGCATTACATAGCATTACACATGACACTGTGACAAATGTATAAGTGATGTCTCACACACTGTCCCCTGTAAGTGAAGACAGTACCTCGGGTGTCAGAGAGAGCTGTGAAACACGAGCTGAAGGTAGAAAAAAGCAGAAGGAAGAAACAAGTGTCAAGGGCAGCCGTGAGGCTCTCTGCGTGTCCCGTCTTATCAATGCCAAACTTGTTCTATAAAGGATAGGGAACGTGGAAGGAACTGTTCTGTATTTAACACTGCAGATAGTACAAACATGTAACAGCTTAGCAGAGGTGGTTGGAGTTGTTAATGTTACATCTTCATGCTCTGCAGCTCCCACTCTGTTGTTTGGATAAAAGGAAAAACAGCATCTCAGTCATTTAAAATGTCTAAATATTAACCTGGATGTGTGTTTCCAATTAGCAATGAGCTCAACACATTGGCTTCAGTAATAAACCATTCAAATGGCTGAAAATGTATTGATTAGGGCAGAGATTCAGAGGTCTGGTCAAACAGCCCTTTGGCTCAATCCTCCAAATGAATTAGAGCTGATGGAGGATAAACACCAGGAAGACAGATTTCAGCTCCTGTGATATTTTTTTATCATGGCTTATAACTTATGTGTCACACGTTAGTAAAAGATCTATAAACTATTTATACAGCCGTTAGTAATGACCCATAAACCGCTGGCATGGGATGCCTATTACACTGACATTTATATGACATAATAAACAGCGTGGAGACAGCTCGGCCAATGCCAGACTGTTGCATTAGTGGCTGTTAACGGTCTGTGCTGCTGGGAAAGTTCAATGCCACCGTTCTGTTGATTCTGGGGGCAAATGTCAAAGGAGGTGAGTATCGTGTTCACATGGTGGAGGAAATGGAAATCACAGAATCACCGCATGGCAATACGTATCATTTATACACATTATTGCGTTGTAGACAATGATAACACTGGTGAGACGTGGTTAATACTTGTGGTGCCAACAAAGAGAGATAGTTTTGTGTCTTTGTCTGCTTCATATTTCTTCTCTCTGCTAAATGCGTCACACTTCAGTCCTCCTGCGTTCACTGGTTAGCCGGCGTTTCAGTCGACGTGGTGGTCATCACTACGATGGCCTGAACAGAGGAGAAACGATGCTGAGCATAACCTGTATTTAATGTTGCAACTCTTTTGTTTTTTTTCAGCTTATGTGACTTTTTACCTGACTTTTTGTGGAGCGCAGGGCAGCCCCGGCCAGAGCTGACATTACAATGAAAATAATTGCAGCGGCAAAAGAGTAGAACACAAGGATTGCTTCAAAAGACATTCCCATGGCCTGAACAAACACAAACAGCACAGAGTTATCCTCAAAAACACGACAAGATGTTTGACATTATATAAATAAATACTGTCAAATAATCATATTAATAACTCAAATTATTACATTGTTAAATGGGTCAATACTTTTCAAAATTATTTTTTTTTTAAGTTTTTTTTTTTTTTTTTTTTTTTTTTAAACGTAATCATGTTATTTTTCATCTCTGACATCAACAGGATCAACAAACTGCATGTTGTTTAACCCTATTCAGGACTTTTGGGGTCTTCTGGACCCCAGGCCATTTGATTCAGGTGACAGGTGTTGTTCTTTTAGTTTTGAAGATTTTTTTTTTTTTTAAATATAAAAAGAAAGACATTTGTCATTCATTTGGAACCAAAAATACATCAACTTATCAGAAAATGTATTTAACATAGTGTAAAAGTCTATAATGAATACCAACAAATATTCAACACATATTCCTTCCTGGAGTCCAATGGACCCCAAGAAAGACCGTCTACGTATGGCAACATGAAAGTCCTGAATAGGGTTAATAATGAATCATTATTTCAATAAATACACTATAAGAACTTAAAACTTGCTTTACATTTGTAATCAAAGCTATGACGGATGGCATCACCAACAAGAAACAAGAATAAAATAATATAATCACCTCATAATATGATGACCATGCTAATTCATAGTCTGTGACGTTTTCTTCATGGTAGTAGCTCCCTCTGTAGTGATAGTGTCCAATATCGGGCAGAGTGTGCAGGAGTGACCAAGCTGTCACCAGTATGGCGATGATGCTCAGAGCTAAAGATATGGTTACCTGCATGAGCAGACAGTAACTTAGAAATGTCTTCATACATTAACACCGACAGTTCTACACATAAATCAATCAGCTAATTAAACACCAAGTTGATGCAGTTTTAAGAGGTCATTTAACATTTAGTGTAAAAAAAAAAACTTCACTAAAAGAGTATTTTCACTTAAAACGTGTGGAGGGGATCTTTAATAAATTGTTTAATCTGCAGACTCTTGGTCCTCTAAATAGGTGGTTCTAGGAAAACACTGCTTCAAAATATCCTAATAGAACTTACTGTCTTCTTGGTGGGGTTGTGCTCTGTCAGAATATAGAGAATCCCACATATGATGAACTGAACGGGAGGAAGAGGAGAAAAAGCTGTTGAAATCTGCATTCCTCAGATGTTCTACATTACCACAGAACTGCATTTCTATAAACAAGACAGCAAAAACCTTCTGTTTCCACTTAGCTCAAGTGAGTTCAAAGTACGACTAGCCCTCGACACCATCCTGTATGAAGTTCCATGTTTGAGTGGTTCAAACCGGCTGTTTATAGAGTAAGTCGCTCTTGTTCAGCTACTAACCAGTATCCCCATCAAGAGGCTTGGCGGGATGGCTGTCCATATGAGGTAGTGCATGGACTCTGCCATCAGTGCAATGGTGCTAATGAAGATGGACGTTCCCAAGACCAGCAAAACGGTCTGGAAGAAAATCAAAAACAGATTCTAGCGTGACCTTAAAAGCTCTGATGTGGCAATACAAGCACGAGTAAGTTAAATGAGGGAAGACACCAAGCATTTAATAGTAGAGTGTGTGTTTGTCTCACGCCAATAATCTTGGGTTGCCCCTTAATGAAGCGGTGTAAAGGTTTGCTGCCCCCGAGTGTGGTGCCTTGAACATTTCCATCGGTCCCACCCGGTGCACTCGCAAAGACGAGCTCAGCAGACATCTAATGGACAAACAACACACACCGGACATGAATCTACTGACCACATAAATGCAGCAACCACGGAAGAAGCCAAATTAGGTCTGGTTCACATCCTCATACATTCAAGATTTTTTTTTTGCCATTCATGCACAAACAGACAGTCTGGCCACACTGAAATTCTTATTCGAGGCTCTCTTGGAGTCGAGTAAACAAACACCTGGTCGAAATACAGTCGTCCATAAATGTATTCATATCCTCCCATGAAAGAAGGAAAAAAACAGCTGACACTGAAATAAGCTGAAATTGACCAAAGTAATAATAAATAAAAATTTTATGAAAATCATGACATTGCTTTTGAATTGTGGTTCAACAGAAATATAAAAAACAAACAAATAAAAAAAACAACAACATGCAAACACGCATGATGGGACCCGTAAACTGATATTTTGTTGAACATCCCTTTGAGCCAATCACTGCAATCAAGAGTTTTCTGTAACTCTCAATCAATAAATAAATTAATAAAGGGGATAATAATACAGGAAAGAACTCCAGAGGGTCACCAAAATGGCTGAGAAGGTCATTGGGTGCCCTCTACCTACAGTGGAGGACCTTCATGGCTCTTTCTGCCTCAGGAGAGCAACACCATCCTGAAGGACTCCTACCACGCGGGACATTTCCTGTTTGAGCTACTGCCATCGGGCAGATGGTACAGGGCCATCAGAACCAGGATTAATAGACTGAAAAACAGCTTTTTTTTCTCCAACTGCTGTCAGAGCCATAAAAGCCTCCTTGTCGCAATACATGCAATATACTGTTTTTAAATATACAACTCCACTACCTCTATCCAATATCCACTGTGTGCAATATACACAGTACTCATTAGTTAATTTTATCGTTTTATATAGAGTTCTTTTTTTGTTTGTTTATATATATTTCTTTTATATTGTATATAGATGTTTTTACAACGTTTTTATATGTTTGTTTTTGCACTGACAGACCTGCACCTTACTTTTCGTTGCACTTGTTGCAATGACAATAAAATTAAAAACTCTCCTAAAATAATACACAAATTAATATAACGAAGCAGACAATCTCAATCTAGGTGCTCTGAATAAAACTGAAGGGCTGTTAAACATTTCTTGTTACTTTCAATGTATTTCAGACTCAAAATAAAGTTTAAATTCAATTAAAAATACATTAAATGATGGCGTTGCTTTTGACATCTCAGCTTTATGAATAAGGAATTTACCCAATAAAATAATATGTTATACTTATGACTTTGTAAGAAAAGAAAACACAGTTAAAAGTAAACTTCCGGTCCCGTGAAGCTCTGACAGCGAACCAGAGGCTCACGGGATTTGTGGTTATTTGTCATTTGGTCCCTGTCGTCCCGTTCAGCCCAGCGCGTAAACACCCCAGCGCGTGAACAAACAGCCCACCGGCGTGTCCGAGCTTCGTCGAACGGCCTAGCTTCGTGCTAGCTGCTCGGTGGAGCTACGCTGGACTCCTAACATGCTGAACAAGCCCTGACTTCAAGCTAAACGTCCTGACATGATGCCAAAGCTTTGTCTTAAAGGAGAACCGTGTCCTCCTCCGCTGCGCCGAAGCTGCAAACCTTTAAAAAAAAAAAAAAAAAGCAACGCGCGAGTTTGACAATCTGAGCTCATTATCTTCTTTTGTCGTAAAGTTAATTAGACAGAGTGTCAAAGTTGGAACAAACAGAAGATGACGTTAGAAAGACAAAAGCAGAGCCAGACCTTGTGCAGTTGTGTGGTCGGAGCTGTAGGTCAGCGTTGTACAAGTTGTCTCACATCAGGTTCACATCTGGAGCAGCGTTACTCTGATGGGCGGTCCGTGGACGAGCCGCTCGTTTCTGCCCGCGGGAGTCACTGGGGTTATAATAATTAGCACATGCCTTACCTCAGTATTACTACCAGGTGTTTCATTTACTCATTTTTACAAGTTTTCCTATTAATTAATTTTTGTTGTGTTTTTATTTTTATTTTTTGTTTTAGTTTTTTCCCCCCCCTTTTAACCCTTTATAGGGCACTCATTCCAATGCTTGGAAATGTAAGATTTCAACCCTGGAGTTTTATTGGTGGATACAAGAGGACATTTTTTCCTTTTCAACTTTTCAAGAAAGTTTTAGATTTAGGCTGCAAATCAAAGTCAAAGCAGTTACCTTATATGAAAAAAAATGTGGATAAATTATTGGACAAAACACACACACATAAAGATGAAGGAACTTTTATTTCCAAATCATCAGTCAGACTTTCAGAATTTATGACACTTGTGTCAAAACTTCCCTCTGGCTCACTTGCGATTTGTCAGAGGCCACAGTAACTATGTTGTGATGTAGCCTGACCTTCGTTGATTGGCTGAATGAAGTCACGTGATTCTGCCTCCTGCCATTTCAAAGAATCCAAAAGTTACAATAAATGGTTCCTTGCTTGATAAAGGGTTAAACTTTTTTTTTCAATCACTGGAACCAGGGTAGTGTCAGTCAAACGATATTTCTCAACTGTTGTCTCTTTTCCCAGATGATTAGTCCTTCATTATGGTGATGAGCGTTGTTAATGGTAATGTGTCCTCATGTTTTGGATCTAAAAGATGTAGCCTCCAGGTTGGAAAAGTGAGCCTGCATTCTTTCTAACTGCCAGCAGGGGGCGACTCCTCTGATTACGAAAAGAGGTTTAGCGTATTAGAAAATGATCCTACTTCTCACCTGATTTGTTGCTTTAGAAAACATTTTCCATATGAATTCATGGTCTCAGCTGCTGGTTTTGAAACTTTTTAAATATGGTTTGTTCTTTATTTTGTAAATTATGGCCCCATTTAGAGTAAAATTGACAAAGAGGCAGGTTATGTTTTAGGGTGTGGCTGCCTTACGATTGCTGTCCTTCAGTTTTTCAGGCAGATCGATCCTGCACTTCCAGTTTCAAAAGCTCACGGTGACGACAGCCAAATGCTGAACTTTAGGTTTCACAGCAGTAGTCCACAAATCAATGGCTGACTTCACAGTGGTTACATCTTTCTTTTATTCTGTTTGTAGCATTGACAGCAATACCCTTAGCTGAGCTTCTGTAAGCGTAGCTTTAAATATCAAGAATTGACAATAAGTAAAATGTTCAGCCATTCCACCCTGGGCTGTCTTGCACTGCGAGCATGTCAGCTTAATATATATGTATTTTTGCTGTTATTATACTTGTGTTTGCTGTGACTGCAATTCAGTATCATTGTGTTTTTTTTTTCCTGTACCCTCTTTTTTGTGAGCAAAACACAGAAGTGCCAAAAACTGCAGTTCCTCAGATGACCAGCTGAGGCTAGCTCCAAAAACAAGTCAATCCCCATAGACCCCCATGTTGAAAGACCCAACTATACGACAGAAGTAAACTTGTTGATTGCCTGGTAAAATAAATAAATACCTAAAAATGTTTGGGGCTGCAAGGTGGTGCAGTTAGTTAGCACTATTGCCTCGCAGCTAGAAGGTCGCCGGTTTGCCGGTTCTTTCTGTGTGGAGTTTGCATGTTCTCCCCGTGCAGCGTGGGTTCTCTCCGGGTTCTCCAGCTTCCTCCCACAAGGTCCAAAAACATGTTGAGGTTAATTGGTGATTCTAAATTGTTCGTAGGTGTGAATGTGAGTGTGCTTGGTTGTCTGTTTCTAAGTGTAGCCCTGTGATAGACTGGTGACCTGTCCAGGGTGTCTCCTGCCTTCACCCTGAGTCAGCTGGGATAGACTCCAGCCCCCCCGCAACCCTCATGAGGATGAAGCGGTGCATAGATAATGGATGGATAAAAATGTTTTGTTCTCTAAACCTAATTTTCCCATTCATGAGAACTGCAGGGGGAAACATTTTTTATATTACCCACTAATTTAAATTGTATCAAGGCTTAAAGTTCTGCATTATTAGGATCATGTCAGCTTTCAGTGACATATGGGTGCCATCATGGGACAGTCCAGGCCCAAAAATGGTTGCATTTCCTGCCTCAGCTTCATTCACACGCCACCGCTATTCTTATTTTTGGATTTGCCTGGAGTTAGAAGAGTCGGAAGCTGCCAAGAAGTAGCTGCGACACTGAGTTTCTGAACTGCTCTTGAAGAAACTATGAATTGCACCATTTCCTCAGATAGAGTTTTTGTACCAGGAGGAGATTTCATCTTCATCCTCTCATTGACATTGTAAACACGAATACCCACTTTGAGGTATGTCTGCTCATTCGGGTCATTTGAGTTAGTCAGTTCAACATTTTGGAGTCAGTGTTTGCAGCCCTGTCATTTTTCTTAACCTTCACCTTGGATCTTTGTCACTTAAACACGAGCATGTGGCATTCTGGGGTTTTGTGCTGTAAGGACCGATGCTTCCTTTAGCAGTCAGAAATGATCCACTCCTCAAAGAGAGTCAAACTTTCCTTCATTCCAGCCAAAACTAAAGAGAAGAGGGGGGGGGGATAAACTCTGTGTGTGTGTGTGTGTGGGTGTACGTGTGTGCACACAGGTTTCACAAAGGGGGGCTGGGCTGAATTTGAGAAGTATAAGGAATGTGATGAAATAGCTTGAGAGAAAGGGAAGCAAAGAGCAACATTATTTCCTGTTGGTTTTTTTCTTTTCTGAAAGTGACACAGCTGTGTGCTTTGGACTTGCTCCAGCCAGGGGAGATGGAGGGATAGAAGGGTTGGGCAACAGCACCATTAAACATTTACTTTGTGTGAAGGGTGAACTTTTGTTTTGCTGCAGCAGAAACACAATCCCTGTTATCATTCCTAACGTGGCTGCATCGTGTAGACCTCAGACTGTTGAAGACCGTTGAAGTCTGAAACCAGAGACACAAATTTGAAAGAAGTGTTTTGAGAGTCCAACTCGGTGTTAATTCTGTTCAGCGAGAGTCTGAGGTGGAAGGCAGAAAAAAATTGGTAAACAACAACAACAACAAAGAAAA